GAACTGATAAAACCATGTTGCCGTGCGGTTGAAAAGCTGCGGAAGATGCAGATTAATATTGCCGCTCGCGATCAGAAGGTACTGCAGGACTCTGGGGCTGAACTCTGGTTTCAAACAGTCTGGTCTCTGTTCTCGTGTTTCCTCTTGAAAACCTCTTCCAGATCGCTTGCGCTGCCTTGCCTCTGTGTCTCGCTCCACGGTAGGGTTTAGCACTTTTTCAAAAATGGTTTGAGATCGGCAGATAAAAGAAGCTTTGAGAACCGAATACTTATTCCGGTGCAGCGATTGTGTTTCGAGGAATCGCAGGTTATTGACGTCAACGTGCCGGTGAGTTTTGTGCTGTGTATTTCAGCACGCAGGAACAAGTAGAGGCATTGCTAATCTTGTCAGCCGAGTCCCTGACTATAGCAGAGCTGGTAGATACCTTTAATATGCTGAACGTCTAATAAAAATTTTAAAATACTTTCTTCGTAGATATGGCAAATTTATTTCAGTTTTTATTCCCTTTAGAAGTGGTGATGAGAAAATAATGAATAATTTTGCCTTTGAACCAGCAAGATCTATTAAAGCAAGAAACAGTGGAAGAGAAGGGAAACCTGTTTGAAGGCTGATGTGTCGCGTATACTGAAGGCAACTTTTTATCTTGCTCTGGATATGCAGCTTTGGGTTTCTCATTCCCTTCACCCTGTGAGTATTTGGGCTGTAACAATATAAATTTATTTCCTGCATGTAGCAGAGTAAGAAGTTCTGTGCACACAGTAAATACATTTTACGTGCTCAGACTTGAAAAGCTGAGTGAAGGTCGATTTGAGCAAGGACTGCTCTGCGGCTCCTTTGTCATGAAAACCTGCGGCAAAAGTGGATAAAAATTGTCAGAAACTAGTTTGTATTTCAACGACAAGTGTATCTGTGTGTTTCATTCCTAATCACAGCGATTTTTCCAATGTTTGCTTTAAAGCAGAGCTACCTAACTCGTTTTTCAGCTTGGCTTAGATGGAGCCTTAAGTTAGCACGCTGGCATTTAACAGATTTGGACAAAACTTGCAACCAGAAGCTGCTGGTCGCATGCCGGGGCCGAGCAGGTTCCCGATGGCGCGTGGTGGCTTTCAGCCTGCAAGTGGTTTCAAACGCTAAAGGCAATGGGGCGAGGAGCAGTCGTTTGCTGAGGTGAGCTGTGGAGCCCTAATACTGTAGCTGATCTGTTGACGGATTTCCTGACCCACAGAATGAATTCCACTGGGTCTGGTGTTTTGCACTGAGTGTCGTTGTTTCATGTGTTTTATGGCCAGAGTATGCTACTACGATCCTCTTGACTGACCTTTCAGTTTATCATAGGCAGTGGGACTTCTCTCGTCGTGCCCAAGCTGGGGCTGAACTAGAAAGATTTTGAAAGATTTCTAGTGACCAAGAATTCATCACAGCCTTTAAAATAATTGCTGCAACGGCTAATTAACTGCATTACTAAACTTTTCCACTACCAAGAATTCACCACAGCCTTTAAAATAATTGCTGCAATGGCTAATTAACTGCATTACTAAACTTTTCCACTGAGTTTCTGGCCTGTGTTTTACTGTGGGATTTTCTTTTTTGTTTCACGGGGAGGCTGAGGACTCTTGTCTCACCATGTGGCTGCCTCTGCTGTCCTGAGCTGACTGTAGCATGAGCTTCCTTTCTTTAAGCTAAGTTTTCCCATCTCTCTTGCCCTGTTCCCTGAATGGTCTCCCATATTTTGAGGAGTGGATGCTAGACCTGGTCACAGTACACCAATAGGTGTCTTGCCGCTGCCAAAGCCAGAGGTGATGTGACTTTTCCCTTGGAATCCGTACCTTCACTCTGTTGATGTGGGACTGTCGTTAGTCCCCTGTGCCATGGCGTCATGCTGGGAGTCACGCTCTGCGAGCAGTAAAACCGAGAGCATCTCCTTCTGCCGTTCGTTCAAGCTGTGGGCCATCTCCAGTTTTATTATTCATCTCCAGAAATACTAATTTCTTGATTTAGCAAAACATTCAGCATTCCCTGTATCCCAGAAGACATCCTATAGCAATGAGGACCTGCCATGTGGGTCTTCCTCCCACCCACCAGCTCATCTACCAAATGGGACCACAGGGTCTGGCACTAAGTGACATGTGTCAGGCAAAGAGGGTAGAATCGTTTTTGGGTGAGCAGCAACAGAGCCGCAGTTGTGCGAGGTCTCGCGTGGTTTTCCCCGTAGCCTTTGCAAACAACCGTCGGAAGTCCTGAGGAATCGCGGATCGAGTCGTGCCAACCCGAGCTCCGAGACACGGGAGCAGCGTTGGCCGGGGAGTCGTGGGAAAGCAGCACCAGCCCGTGCTAGAGTTGGTGGCTGGGGGACCTCAGGGAGGTGACACACTGCCGAGCCTTCAGTCTCACTCAGAAAGTTGCTCTTCAGTCAGGTAACTCTTGTCTGAGGTGAACAGGCCCTTGGTTAAGGCCAGAACAGGCTCTCATTAAGACTTTCTTGGCCTTCACGGTAGATGGGACTTGTTATGCTTGCCGAAGTAAATGTTGCATCTGCTGTGGATGCTGGCTGGTACAGCGCACAGCGGGGCCCTTATTCTGCAGCTTCTCATTCTGGGAGTTTTGTTGTCTCTGGCCTTTCGCTGGAGCCACAAGTTATCCACGTGAAGCCCCACGGCCTGACCGTTCACGAAAGGATACGGTCAAAGCTGCTTAATAAACATGCCCTGTGCCCAAGGGCATTGGCAACGGCAGGCCCACAAGCCAGCAGAACACCCGAGCACCTCTCCGATTTCAGCTGTAGCCGGCAAATGGCGTAAGCGATGGGCGAGAAGCGAGCAGCACCTTGTTCTGGTGTGGAGATGCTGTGCTGGTGCAGAATTTGTACCTGCGGATGGCTTGGGCTCTCGTCCTGCCCAGCGTGGACGGCATGGACAGCTTCCTGCAGCGTGGGGTGGGCAGAAGAGGGCAGCTGGTCCTGGTTGTGGGAGAAGCTTGTGTGGACAAAGGCTTGTGCCCCTCTCCCCCCTCTTTCACTGCCCCACGTCTGATACAAGAGGCTAAAGCGCTTTATTGCTCCAGCGGGCGAAGGGCGTCAGTTGCAGCGATGGCTGATGTTGGCCCTAACCCTGCTCCGCTTCACTGAAAACGCTGCCATGGCACCCAGCTCCCTCCCTTTCTCTGCTGGGCTCTGTAAAACCGAGTATGAACGCATCATTAGGCAAACTACGACCAACCATCACACTTGTGAAAGATCAGCAACTCTCTTCTAGTTTATTGACTGCAGTCAAGTTTTATTATGCCTCAAATAATTAAATACTGCAACCGTGACATTAAAAATACAGGCTGATTTAACAAAATAATTGTATTCTGAAGATTATGTACATATTATACATTTTACAATATCATGTAAACTTTTTTTATACATAAGGTAAATCTGATTTATGGTAACTAGAAAACCCAAAATACTTGCTGACAAAAATATTCCTATGAAACATAAGCACTGTGTCTAGGACACTCAGGAAAATTGCAAAGAATGGAAACCAACTATAAAACATACTCTAGTTGCGTTAGTAGAAAAATGAATTAAATTACATTCATAGAAAAAGTTAAACTAAAAACATTGCTATGCATCATTATTAAAAAAAAAAGGGGAAAATCCCAAACCCTCCCCTTTTATATATTAACACACACTTTCCTGGGGAGCTACTGTGCGCCTCATTTCCAGCAATGGGGCGTAGCCTAGGAAATCCAGATTCCCATTCTCCTTTTAACATATATTAAATAACTAGGGTCTGTACCAATACAAATATTGTATATATTCATGCACTGTGATTATGTTCGTAGTAGCCCACCAAGGCACAGTTTTTGTGTCCTTGCCCCCGCCCCCCTTACGTTTTGGCATGCAGTGCTAGAGCTGTTTCTGTTCAAAAACCTGCTGGGGGATTTGTCTCTAGTCTGATTTTCACACTAGGGGACACAGAAACCCTGCCAGCATAGACTTAAAAATAAATAAGTAAAAGAAGGTAAAGGCCTTACTTCAACATCTTGCACCAATCGTGTCAGCTCAGTTAAGATGCCTTAACCCTCTCTACAGTCTCCAGAAAGCACGTCACCGAAATGATGTCGTTATAATTCTCTGGTCAGATATTTTATATATTAACTAGGACAACAAAATTGTTCCTTCTGCAAATCTTCATTCATGTGACAGCTGTAGTGTTTTGATTTGGCATAATGGGTCTTCAAGTCTAAATTGGTTTCTAGCTCACATCTCCTCTCAGCATACCACCATTTGCATTATTTGCTACGTACGGCATGTAATTGAAGTACCTAGGTATGCTCATTAAAATAAATGCATAATTTAATGGTATATAAACAGCTGCTAAAAACAGCTGTGAACCTGGCTGTATTCTGAAGGCTTGTAAAGCTTGCATATTTTATAACTGTTCTGCACCTATAAAAGGCCTGGTCCTGCAAGGAGCTGGGCATGTGCTTACCTTCAAGCATTTGAAGAATCTCATGGATTATAATGAACAAAACCACCCGTGGGCCTCTATGAGCACGGCAGATCGTGCCCTGGCCGGGCAGCATGGCCAACCATTAGTCATAAAAGTTGTGTCAAGAAAGACAACGAGAGTTGGAGTGACTAATGTCAGCTGGGTTTAGGCACTAGGTATAATCCCTCAGATGTTGAATGTATCTGAAATTAGACCAACATCTCTGTCAGACTTGGAAAGTGTATTCCAAGATGGCCTTTATGAAACATGCCCAGAATTAGAAAAAATTAAACCTATATGATGTCTGTTTATGTACAGCTTTAATAGAAAAGAAATCCTAATCTAGAGTATCAAAATATCATATTCATATAAACGTATGAGAGCATCTAATAGAAAAGTAAGAAGTGTAAAACACAAACTTTTTTTTTTAAATTAAATATCCTAAAAAAGTTGTTGGTTTAAAAAAAAAACCACACCCACAAAACCCCAGGCATTTCTGTGCTAAAAAAAAAAAAATTAAGACCACTACATCTCTCCTCGTCTACGAGTTTTTGCTGCAACAGCTCTGCCTTCCTCCTCCTCTTCCTCTTCCTCCTCATAATTTTCTTCATGAACTTCTTTCTGGTTGTTCTCTTCTTGCATTTCTTGCTCTCGATCTGCCCCTCTGTTATTTTTTTCATCTGCCTGATCGGGGAAAACAAACAAAAAAAAAAAAACCACAATTCAGTGCAACTGGCAGTTTCCTTACAGTTTATTTTGGGGCAATGAGATGAAGTTAAGGAAAAGTGACTGTCAGCTGGAGTTGTTAGAGCTGAGGGACAGAAACAGGAAAAGATTTCCAGAAGCCTCCAGGCAGCAAGAAAGGGTGTGGGGGTGGAAGGATGAGCAAAGGGAAGTTGGGACAGCATGAAATTTCAAGGTCTATGATCTAAATTATTATGTAATGTCACTGTGACATGTTAAGTGCTTAATCATGTCTCCGAGTTTGTGGGTTTACGCAGTACTTACATTTTCGTCGTTTTCACCATATGGCTCTTCAGCATTGCGTTCCAGTTCTCGTTTCTTCTCTTCAGTCAAATCTTCCTGGATCTAGAAAGCACAGAGATGTTCTGTGTATTTTAATTTCCTTTAAAAAAAACTAGTCTGTGGCATAAATGTAGACACATTTTCACAGCTATGCTTTTACAGAATTAAGATTCAAAAGAAAGGGAGGAGAGGGCATGGAGAGGTGAAAGAGGGGGAAAAAAAAGCAAGCACCAAACCACCCAACCCACCCCATCAGGAAAGTAACTTCCTCTGAGACCACATTTAACGACACTTTTCACAGACTCTCTCATCAGCAGCATTTAGATTTAGATTTCCATTCCATGTTTTAACTTTACATATATAGTATTTTCTCCTTGTCCTTCACAGTGAAAGTGTCACGACACAGGAAGGAGTCATTACCGACACTTCCACCCTACTGTAGACTCCTAGAACTATTTTGGTTCCGATATGCGATGTAGGTATTTAATGGTAACTTTGTCCGTTTTCCCAGCAGTTGAGCAATCCTTTTGCCAGCTGCCCCTGGAAAACCACAAAAGAGCAAGGGGGGAGATTGGGAGTGAAGAAAACCTTTTCCAACTCTATCCTTGGAGAGAGAGCAGGCCATGCTGCCTCTGTTTTCCAGATGTTTAGATCTTGATCTATCCCTTCTTGCTTGTATGCCAGCACCTTCCCTCACTTCCACATCAATTCTTGTTTAGGTGCAAATTTGAGAGAGGCATGCTTTTCAAAGTAAACTTGATTTTCTTTTGGAGAATGCCGTTACACATGTCTGCTTCAAACCGTGTCCTGCAAGCTGGGTAAGGTGCTTCAGTAAGGCCGTACAGCTCTCCCCACGGCAAAAAGCTGTTTCACCTGGCTGGGAAGCATTCGCCACTCAGTGCTGCCACCCACCCCTGCCACCAAGAGCAAGGATGAGACTGCTGCTCTCCCCGGGGCTCCCTCCCTCTAGCAGCTGCCACCACATTCCCCTGAAGAACAGCAGCAGCAGCCTTCTCAGCAATGTCAGTGCCAGGAGAGTGTATTTAGCAGCTGCTTCCCACAGGAGGCAAAGCTGCTTGTGAAGAAGTTCTCTGGGGTCAGGTGTTGCTGCCAGCAGAAAGGCAGCCATCAAACCTGGATCACATTGAGGACGGATGGAAAAGATTTGAACAGCAATGTATTTGAGTCAACCTCCTAAAGAAACTATTTCTAATTACAGCATCCCAACTCTTTCTTGATTGCTCATTCAATCACTGCTGACTCTTTAATACTTCCAGTAAGCACAGTCCTTCATAAAACATGTATCAAATTACTTCCTGTAAGCCAGAGAGTAATTGCCAAAGGCCAACTATCACCAGTTCCTAATGACCTGGTTTGATTTAAGTAACCTGATTTTGGACTGGTGAATTCTAAGTGCACGCCAGCTACCCTAGACAAAGTGGTCCCCATAAGGGAGTAATGAGTAGCCGTTTCGATCGCTTTTTGTAAATCATTATGTATGAAGTAGAAAATAGCCCTTGATTAGGTTATGTATTGAAGAACTGCAGAGCAGCTATGCTAATGCATGCATACGAGCGTGCCATTCAACATAGAATGGAGAAAGTCCCTTCCCCTCCTTTTCTCCTCCAGTCCAAAGCAATGTGCTAACAGCTTCCTGACTGTTTGGCTCCATGAATAGTTGGGGTTTACACACCTTGGATTGCTGAGGAGATAAATCAAAGCCAGAGCTAAAGATTAAGTAACTGGCCAAGGAAGCAGTTTGTCCGGAACAGCAGTGCATGATTAGAGATGCAAAGTTAATGAGGTTTTCAGGAATTTTTCCTTGTGTTGTGAATGGCTTAATCTTTTCAATTATTGCACAACTAATACTGTGATTGCAGCATATAAGCATGAGTAACACTAAACGTGTCCAGAAGTGGACAGCAGTGTAATGGCAAAGACTTCTAGGTTTCATAAAGTCAGACAAAGCTATTTGGGTTCATTTTGCAGTTACAGAAGATACCAACGTTGAACATTAATGGAGATGTGCTCTGCTACCTGAGTCCACATATGCCTTTTGTCTGTTTTCTTACCTCCTCTTCTCCTTCTTCCTGGTATTGTTCATCCACATTATCTTCCTGCTGGTCAGGATTTCCTGCCATCTGCAGAAAGAACATATAAAAATTCAGCTCTATGTGCATGCCTGTTAACTTCAGAACACTGAAGGTTAAAGCTTCTTGTTCTGGAACTAAAACTTTATGTAAAGCTAAAGTAACAATAACAGCATTAAGAAGTTATAGTGCGTTCATTAGCATTAATGATAGCCTGGCTACATGATTTAGAACTGCCCTAAATTAAAAAATAGACAGCAGAATGATTATAATAAAAATCACTTCACAGAATAAAGCAAGCCTTTCCATACTAAGCAGGAAGACAATGAAATATTCACACCATTAAAGACCAATGTCGTAAAATACAGATTATTTCTGCCTAGAGGAGTTTACAGTTTAAACACGGTTGAAATGCGCAGCATTCACTGCAATGGATGTAGAAGGAAAGTGACACCACCACTTACAGTTGATGGCATGTTGATGGCATAGAAGCAGCACAGAAGGGATTTGTGGGAAGACGTGAAGATTGTATGAACATGAAGATTGTTCTTCCAGGGGCTTGTGTGAAAGTAAATGCAGGGGCCCTGAACTACGAGACTACAGAACCTCGCTGAGTGGAGCCAGTGGTGAAAGACTACCAGTGTACCACCAAGAGTAATCCCGCACTTTCACCTGCACATGTCATATATGGCTTAAAAGAGATCTTTAAAAATCAAAGTTGAGTGTTCTCTTGTGAAGCTGTGCTACACTGTCCTTAAAGAGGACCCACAGATGCTTCCCTTCCCTTTACTGACCACTAGGTGCTCTTCCATTCCCGGATGTCCTTGTTTCTGACTGGTTTGCTTGTGCTTTTCATTTTCATCTGGTAGATTTTCTTCTCTCTCTTGCTCAGCTTCCTCAAATTCATCTTCTCCCTGATTGTTGGGGTCATCAGCAGGGTTCACATCTTCCATGGCTGCCTTCTGTAAAATTTTCAGAAGTGAATGTTAAATACATATTTTTATCTCACAGTCAAATTCCATTTCACTTGAGAGCTTCCCTAGCATGAGCTGCATTAGAGCCAAGTCCATACCCACTGAAACCAGCTGGAATCTCTCTGCAGGCATCAGGGGTCACCAGATCAACCCCCACCCAGTACAGAACTGTCAGTTCCTCAAAAGAAAAAGTACTTCAGCACTGAATAGAGACAGAACTGCAGGATGGTGTCTGTCTGCTGAAAACCAGATTGAATCTGATGACTTATTTCACACTGGCTGTTGAACTTCTTTTGTTGACTATCTGACAACTGACAATGCCTGATAAGACCAGGTGAAAAAAGATAAGAGTTTAAATGCTCACAGCTCAAAAGAGCTGATGTGATCTTTCAGTACCAGTCTGTCCTGCAATATTGACCTTGTCTGCATCTATAATAAAACAAAAGAAAACAACACTCACTTCTCATCATACTTTGCCATTCAGAAAGCAAGCATTTTCTTTCTGCTTATCATTCTGTAAAAGCATTTCTGATATCTTTATAGCTGACAAGTTAAAGATCCTTCAGAAATATTTACTATATAACTTAATTTGCTGAGTACGAGGGGAGTGAAGATGATATGCCTGATGTTCCACAACACCAAGTAGGATGGAACCTGGGGCAAGGCGCAGAACTGAATCTCCTGCATCGAGATCTCTGTGCGTTCGATATCGCGGCTGCGTTCAGTGCTGAGGTGTGGCCTCTTTCAGGATCTCACACCACTTCTGTGCTGACTCCAGCTGGTTTCAGTGGCTATTGAGTTGGCTCTTACCCTCTTAACTAATGACAGCATGAAAAAGTATTTTTCATATACTGTCACCACGCTTTTTGACTGACCACCAGTAAGTTACTCCTGTTATTTTTCTGAATTCAAGTTTACCTGTCCAAGTCCTAGAGAAGTCCAAATCCTTTATTCCACCTAAAACACAGATCAAAGCAATGCAGAAAAACAGCTTGCTTCCAACAAGGAAGCTTTTTTCATTTCTTCCCAAATCACTAAGGACAACTTTAAATAGATCTTGGATGTAGTTTTAAACTGTCAAACTTGTCTTCCTAGCAGACCTCTGGTTCATCTTACTTCTGTACTGCACAATTATGTTAGATGAGACCTCTGGGTTTTCACTTCAGTAACGACTGCAATCCATAGCATCTTAATTCATACTCACAGATTCATCAGCCTGCTGATTTTCTACTTGATGTTCTGGTTCTTGCTGTTCATTTGCATTATTTTGATCATCATCTTCACCTTCATCCTGGTGCTGGTTGTCACGTCCATAAGCTGACAAATTTTTGATATTATTATTGTATTACAGCAGTTTCTAGTTAGCCTTTTTAACAGTCTCCTATATACTAGCTTCCAGATGTGCTTTTAGCAGTAGGCAGCCTTTACCCAAAGAGCTTACCTAAACATGTAATGCTGACAGAATTGTTTTACTGCTAGTAGAAAACTGACACTGAAAGATTATATAATTTGAAGATATCAAACAAAAACATAGGCAAATCCAGGAATGTGACCAAGATCCACAAAGCTCTATCCTAGTACCTCAATCAAAAGGACACTCTTCCTTTCAGATATGAAAGGATATGTGGATATGATCTTTAGTAATTCCTGTAGTTCACTCAGTCCGTTCAGCCAGTGTTATCTGAGCTTTTGGTTTTAAATTGCAAGTGTATAGTTCCCTTGAAACCAAACTGGATATGAAATGAATATTAAAACCTTGCATGAAAGGCAGTACACAGGGAACCCGTGAAGATGGTAGGGACATACATTTTATCTTACCTCCTTCCTCTTCCTGAATACCTTGCTCTTCTTCCCCTTGTACAATATCATGGTCCATGTTATCATAACGAGCCTGTTGGCTGAGAAAATTAAATGCAAATACATCATTTCAGTTTCAAAAAGGTGTGGTTTTGCTTTAGTAAACAAACCATCCTACTGCCTCTCTGCCTCTCCCACCTCCTGCCAGAATGGGTTCCAGTTTAGCTTTCCATTACCTTACATTTTTTCACATCACCCTTCCTGAAAGAAGAGATACTTTATAGAACAAAAACTTTCTTGTCCTACTATACTAACTTCTGTGCTTGTATTTTTCTATGTATCAAATGGGATCTGCCTTGTATTTTCAAAACTCCTAGGCTAGTATATCCCATAATCAAAGCACAAATACTATGAACTGGAAGCAAACAACCTCTCAAGGTAAACGGTCTTAAAGACAGACTACATGGATCAGTTATTTTGTTGAATAAGCAGTTTTAGCTTTCATCTTGAAAGGGGTTTACTTGTGTGGTTGTTCTTGCAGGACACAATATTTTGACTATCAATCAACTTATAAAAGGCGCTCCTTTTAGAACACGGGTCAAGTTAATAATTAGTATTTCAATGTTTCAGCAAAGAAAATTCAACGGGCTTAAGATTAAAAAAAATAAAAAATTGTCACTAACAATTTTAAACTAAGCAGAAGCATAAGGAAATATGACAGGGAGGGTGAAAGGCATGTGGAAGCTACAATATCATGAATATAACTGCATTCACAATAAACTTATGACACTAACAGGACATTGGTTTTTCCTGAAATCATTGAACACAGGATTGTTTAGGTTGGAAAAGACCTTTAGGATCACCAAGTCCAACTGTTAACCTAGCACTGCCAAGTCCACCACTAAACCATGTCCCTAAGCACTGCGTCTACATGTCTTTTAAATACCTCCAGGGATGTGACTCCACCACTTCGCTGGGCAGCCTGTGCCAATGCTTGACAACCCTTCTGGTGAAGCAATTTTTCCTAATATCCAGTTTCAACCTCCCTGGCACAACTTGAGGCCATTTCCTCTCATCCCCCATCGCTTGTTACTTGGGAGAAGAGAGCAACCCCCACCATGCTACAACCTCCTATTCAGGTAGTTAGTTGTAGGGCGATAAGGTCTCCCCTCAGCCTCCTCTTCTCCAGACTGAACAACCCCAGTTCCTTCAGCTGCTCCTCATAAGACTTGTGCTCCAGACCCCTCCCCAGCTCCATTGCCCTTCTCTGGACACACTCCAGCACCTCAATGTCCTTCTTGTAGTGAGGGGCCCAACACTGAACACAGGATTCAAGGTGGGGCCTCACCAGTGCCAAGTACTGGGGCACGGTCACCTTGCCTGTCCTGTTGGCCACACTAGTGCTGATACAGGCCAGGACGCTGTTGGCCTTCTTGGCCACCTGGGCACACTGCCGGCTCATATTCAGCCAGAGGTCAACCAGCACCCCCAGGTCCCTTTCCACCAGGCAGCTCTCCAGCCACTCCTCCCCGAGCCTGTAGCGTTGCATGGGGTTGTTGTGACCCGAGTGCAGGACCCAGTACTTGGCCTTGTTGAACCTCATCCAGTTGGTCTCAGCCCATCATCCATTCTGTCCAGATGCCTCTATAGAGCCTGCCTACCCTTGGCAGGTCAACAATCCCACCCACCATGGGAGTTCTCATGGAATTACTTGGAAAGAGCATCTCACATTTAAGAGGAACTTTAGCTTAGGTACTTAATGCATATCTGATATTGGAGCTCCTCAGTACTACAAGATCGTAATTGCTACTTAGCACAAAATAATTACTAATTTAAGACAAGGGGCATTGTAGGCCAGAAGCCCCTAACCTCTCCCAAGGATGTGCATGGCCATGTGCACTCATTACTCCAGCCTTCAGAGGTTTGAATAGTAAAAAAAAAAAACCACACCCTTAAAATAGCAATAGGATTTAGCCTTGGAAAGAAGGAGGTGAGGCTCACTGAATTTAGTTTCTGGGCAGTCTGGTTTATAGCATTAAACCACCTTCTTTTCAAAGGTGGTACAGTGGAAGACAAAAAACCTAGAGCACAGACCGTGACAAACTCATGTAAAAATTTAACCTTAGCCGGTTTTTATAGAGTTTTTCTCCTTGTTCTGCCTGTTTCTGCAGCTGAAGCTCTTTTTCCTGAAGCTGTTGCTGCCGTAATAGCTGTCCTCGCAGTCTTTGCTGGTGTAGCGATTCCTGATGTTCTCGTAGCTGATTGGCTTCCTCTGCTCTTTGGGCTGCAAGATGTTGCTGCTCTAGTTGCTGTTCATAAGCTGGCTTATGTCTTTTTGCTACAGCTTTTGTTGATGTTGTCTGTCAAAGAAATGTTTAGTCATAGATTTATCGTAATTTCAATGATCAGAAACAAGCATGCAGAAACCTGTGACAAGAGGGAAAAACATGCAGATGCTACATGCAATAGGCAAAGTTACAGCAAAGTTACTTTAAGTTTTCTTGTCTCTGCTTAAAGTTTGGTTTTTTTGAACACAGACTGGAAGTGCTGGGGCGTTTGTAGAGGACATGGGGAAGTTTTGATGGCTGACAATTAAGATGGCAAACGTGCTTCGATTGATGTAATTGGTAATTTCAGTTGGGGTTGCTTTGAGCCTTAAGTGAGATATAGCACGTTTTTTACAGCCAGCAGTTACTTAAACTAATTCCAGTGTCACAGCTTAACCTATTGCTGCTGTTCTAATCTACTGCACCTCTCCAACAATGGCTTCTCATCACACTGGAGTTATACAGTGGATCTTAATCTTGGACTGAGTGTTTACAAAGCCTAAGGTGAGATCAGTAAAATGTATTTTCCACCGGAGATCTGATCTAGAATGTAAATCCAGGATTTGCTGGTTTTATTTAGAGCTGCATAGAGCAAGGCTTGCCATTGCTGCGCACTGATTTCCCCTGGCTATTTTAGTCATGTTCATCTTGCAGTTAAAATTTCCTGTCAAATGACAGGATGGAGACATGATTACAGAAGGTGGGTATATCTTACAAGGAAACACACTGCAATTTGCTGAGATGTATGAAATTAGTAAAGCAGGACAGCTCTTCATCAAGGTGCTGAAGATAAGTCTCATTCTCATCAGCTGTTTTCTTCCCATCAGCTACCACAGGCCTCAAATTTAAAGTAAAAGATGGAATTCAACCTGACTGCTCTTTTATTCCATCTGTTGCTTTTTATCAGCAGAATTAATGTTCATTCAACTTCATTTGGCAAGCACTGCAGTATGTGTGTGCTGAAGTTGAGCCTGAATCCTGTGCATCCAAGTGCTTTGAATCCCAAATGTTCTATAAATATGACACTGATTTTACCTAGAAATAGGCAAGTGCAATACAGGGCCAGCAATGATAAGAGATGCCTCCTTGTAAACAACAAATCTAATCAATTAGTAGAAAAGAAGAACTCCATACCTCTGAATGAAAATGATCACCCAACATGTTGGTTTCTTCTTCTTTCTGTTCCTGTTTTTTCCACTGATGCTCTTCTGGTACTTGATCCTGTTCCTCCTCTAAGTGCTCGGGCTGACCTGCCTGCTCCATTTCTTCCTCTTCAAGTTCTTTTTTGCGTTCCTCTTCAACTTGATCAACACGTTGCTCGTCATCCTCTCCAGCTTCTTGTTGCTCCTGAATATTTAGGTCTTTGGCATGCTGGCTCTCCTTAGCCCTTCTCTGCAGATGAAAGGGTTCAGCTCCATCATCTTTTTCCTGGGTATTTATTTCTTCTCTCTCTTTTGGCTTCTCATTCTGCCAAATACACACAAAATTATGTGTGCACAAGATATTATGGATTCCATATTTTGTTTCAAGAGAGCCAAGGATCAGTTATGGATGCCTTTATTCCAGCCTGCAGTAGTGAAGCTGTAGTCAGGAGAGCCAAATGCCTGCTTGGGATGAAGCCACTCCTCCTGCCAAATGATATCAATACCTGATTCTTGGCTCTGCACAGCTACACCAGGTGTTGTACAATTGCATCATAAGGCAGGTTAAGCCTCGTTTTATCTGGAGTGGAACAAAACTATTACAATTCTGTATCTACAAAGGAAGCTTTGTATTTTTATTCCCTGCAAGTTCTTCTGGCCAAGAACTCTTGTAAAACAAAACCACAACTGATATTGCAACTTCTAGTCTTTACCCACAGCTTTGCTTTATGTCTTTTTGAACATGGGCTAACGTGCCAATTTTAAGTATACTGACTTAAGCATGCCACTGAAACTTTATAAAACGCAGAACGACAATTTCTTCAGAACTTATTAAAGCTTTTCTGTAACACGAGGTATCTAAAATTTTAGAGACAGGTTATTATTCAAAAATTTAAGATTTTTAGCAACTTCTTAGAACAGTTTACATAAACCAGTTTTAAGTGCATTTACAGTCGTAAAATAGGCCACCATGAATATATTTTTCTACTACTCAGCAAGATTAAACTATTCCTTACTACTTTACTCAAGAAATGACAAACTTGTACAATTAAACATACGCTTTAATGGAAGTTAAGCACATAGCTAGTATTTTTCTGAATAAGAACCATTTCCTAGAGCGTCTGTAGCCAGTCAGTACGTTATACCTCCTTACGCTCTTCAGCCGCAGCTTCATGGTGCACTGGGAGGTCACTGTGGGGAGACGGTGCTTGCACCTCTGGTTGCTCATGTGATTGTTCTGACTTCTCAGGCTGTCGGAAACTTGGCATTTTGTTGAGCGTGTCCTTCAACTGTTTGTATTCCTCCACCTGGGACTAAAGTCAACACATTAATTATAGCGTGTCCAAATCAATTCCTGAATAAAATGTAGTCACCCCAGAGTGAACTTGCTGGCAAGACATATGGTTGAAAGACTTGATATCCACATCAGAGCAAATACCAGGGAGGAGAAGGGATGGGAGCTTTTAAAATTGGTTGTTTCCACACACTAAGATAGCATTGATTCATCACAGTCTTTTCAGCCAAAGTGCACATGCATACAAAATATATTAGAAAAACCTCCGTGGGACAAAGATGAAGATTTGATTTATTCATGCCAAGCAGGAGAACTGTCAAAAGGGGATGATGCAGTTTCCTTGGCAGACTGCAGCAAGGGAAATCAAGAGCACCACAACTTCTCCTTTGCTGGTAGAAAGAAGTACAGTTCTTCCAGAAACAGTAGCTTTGAAGTATATATACACATCATGAAAATGCCAGATCCTCAACATTTAGACAGGTGTTACACAAGACAACAGCCAACATAAAGGACTGAGGCAAAGAAAATCATAGTACACTGTTGGTGAAGAGCAAGGAAAAAAAAGAAGGAAAATAAAAAAGAAAAAAAAAAGAAGAAAGAAAATGTAAATATCTAAATTCCTCCTGAAATGCAATAATAAAATGTATTTGCTGTTTAACTTTGTACAAGATCAAGATACTTTCAAAAAGCATTAAAGCCCAGTATGAGAATGCAGACTGGTTGATACAGCAGTCCCAGTCTATACAGCAGACGTACAAGAAAGATTATCTTGAAAAGTAAAATTTTTGAGATGGACAGAATTTATAAAAGCTGACCAGCTGCATATACAAAAGGTGGTGCCCCACAAGAGGGTTTCTGTCTTGCTCCAGCGGAGATCTTGGGTGTGTTTACTACCCATTTTGAAGCCAGAGGTGCCTTTCATAATCCTTTTTAAAATTCACGTTAAAAACTGGCTACAGTTTCTACTTGGTGACTGTGTATGTCATTTAGTGTGTTATGTGGTATCATAGCAATCAATAGTACAGCAGACAGGCATGATGCATTGATGTACAATGCATAATACTCATACAAAACAATATCCACAGTGCTACAGATTGACATGATGCAATGCATAACAGCTCCGAAGCTAGACGCACCTCGAAGCATCTTCAAAAGACTATGGCATCCACTAAAACAGACAGGCCTAAAAGCAAAGCAGAATGCACAGTAATTACTCTTGTCATTCCAGAGGGATACTTCTGCTTCCTGATTAACTGCTGGAGAATCCAACAAGAGATTTTAGAGGAAAAAAACAGCATTTACTTAGCATAAGACTAATACGCAGGTGTCTGATTCCCCCCCCCACACACTCACTGACCACGCAGAGAGACTAATATACTAGGATATTTAAACAGTGCATGTCCAGATCAGAATTAAAAGTACTCCGTTCCGCTGCACGAGTCATTAAGCTGAACATTGTGATTCAAGGCCATAGCTTAAAAGGTATTAATACTGGCAGAAAGACAGGGTTTATAAAAATATATAATGAATCTGTCTGGCTGTTTGAGGTATGGAAAAGTACAAAGATTACAATGCCTTAAAGATTCAGGTCACAAATTCATTAGTGCAGTATTGACTACTGATATTTAATGTCTAAAATACACCTAGAAATAGAGGGGTCATTTATCGAGCTGTGTTTCTAAGCAATAATCCCTTGTGAACTTTCTGTAGCTGGTTTGCAGGAGAAACTATGCAACTGTGCTAAATACCTTCTGTTCTGAAAGAATGTGCAAGACCCTTCCCTTGAAGGAAAGGTTCTCCATATGATAAATAGCCACATTCTGATGGCAGGTAGAAAGGCTTTGTGTGACACAGGTTTTCTAATTAAAGAACTCAGTCAAAGCCAGAAGAAGTACACGGAGCTTCCCTTTGGATTTGGTGATCCTTAAATCAGACCATGTATCTGCCCTTGTGGAATTTCAGATGTTAGCAAAAACATACCAAGTAGCTAGCGTGGCCAGTGGGAGAAGAGCTTAAACCTAGCTGCCAGCACATTTTAGTACTGGAAATTAAGATTCCTCATGTATTTAGTCTATAAGACTTCCCTGGTCTCTCTCTCTCTCTTTTTTTTTTTTCTTCTTTTTTTTTTTTTTTAATATCTACACATATTGACATGCACAACAAGCAGAACTGTGGCGGGGGGAAGATCCAATGCTTTTAACACTGCTAATAACTTTGTGGACCATGAAACTACTGAAACGAAGAAAATTAGTCAGGAATAAAAATAACTTCACGCTGCCTCATTGCCTTTCCCTCTGATCTTTTACCAATAGTCTTCCTCCGCTCCAACATTACTCCTACTTTCAGATTCCCTGTGGCCTACACAGCTTGTACTGGCACAGCTGAATGAATCTGCAATAGTCTAACAAAGTTCATGCTTCATGGATAGTTCACTTGAAAATGACATTTAAGAAAGGTAATACTGCTGCTTCTTTTTAACTGAGCTCCACTTGGAGTTTACATTCCTCCATATATGCTCTACCTCTGTTGCCCTGATGTATATTATAAACCTTCCAGTCATACACAGAAAACAGACTTTCTAGTATACCAGGTCTTTGTAAGTGATACATATGAATGTCAGAGCGTGAGACGTTAAACTAATAGGAGTTCCTCCAGAGAAGACAGAAAGAAAGGTATTCAACAGCTCTCATGGAAGCAGAGATACTCTTCTTATCAGCAATACATGCATTCTCGGGCCTGTAATACAGGTTTTTATTTTCTGACAGCCCTATGAGCAGCTGCAGCTTCTTCTTAAGAGCACCCCTTTAACTCATGCATTTCCCTGCAGTGTGCAGCATGGTGCTAACTGCGAACTCCACATGCGAAAGGCTACATGCATAACATTACAGTCAGCTGAACTAGGAGAAACAAGTTTTAGGAAGGTTAGAGCTAGCAGAAGCTGCTTTCCTTTCTGACCTGTGCAGCAGCTAGTGCACTCTTGTGGTCTTCCAATGTCACAACAAGCTGATTGTGTTGGGAGAGCAAGTTCTTATGCTGTTGCTACACAAAAAGAAGAACATTACATGTTTCACAAAGTTCATTCTAAAGGTAAGTTAGGTAGCCTGGGGGATTTTGAACTAGGAAGATAATTCAGTTTATTTCAAAAAGAAAATCCTGAGTTGGAATGACAGCATTTATTTATTTAACATGGAATGCATATTAAACACGCAGAGAAAGCGAGCATGCCCCGGAAGAAAATTTGTGAGGCCAGAATTTGGGTAACTAAAATAAAGTTAAGAGTTGGAGTAGATGTTGATGAACATTAAAAAAAAAAAAATAGAGCTGGAAAACATTCATTTCAGCAAACTTAGTTTGCCAAAACACAACTCTTAACTTGCAAAGTCAAATTTCCAGTTCCAATTTCTATATTAAATATTTCTCTTCCAATTCTTTGTTTTTGTCAAATAAGCATGCACCTAAAGCACAGGTGGCAAAAGACAAGAAATCCAGCCGGGCCATATTCCTCTCCTTTTTGCCACATAACAGAAGCTACAAATCTTCAGCATAGCCCATTTCTAGCTTGTTAAAACTTGGGAAAATGTTTTGGTTTTCCTAAAGGTCTTCAAGGTTGCCCGCAAAGCAAAGCCTACCTTGACATCTTGTAGCTGGGTGTGAATGTCTTGGTGAGCTTTTCTCAACTGTCTGTTCTCCTCCCGTAAATTATACAGGGATTCTGTTTAAAAGAAAGGACATGCAGAATTTAAACCTGGTCAGATTTATGATACTAGATTAAGACTATAACGCAAACTACATAAAATCATACACAATTGCTGTAGTAAAAAATGGATTAGAGTAATTCTATGGCTTCTTTACGTGACATCTTTCCCCAGCCCTATGAAAAGCTTGACATTCTCAAGCAGAAAATTGTAAAATATGGTTAAATTTTGTCTTAGTGCACCTAATCTGCAACGGGAATAATACATCACCGTTCATGCTGGGGACTGCAGACGGCAAAATTCATTATGGTAATCTGAATCTTTAAAATGCAGAGAGGAAGCCACCCTCCTCTCTCCCCCCACGTCGCATGTGGTAGCAAGAATTTTATGTCGTAGGACTAGGCTATTGTTTTGAAAGAGGTGCCCAGATGGCCGGGGTACTCAAAAAGCTTTACGTTCTGGGACCAGGGAGAGGGGCTTCTCTTCCCACTTCTTACATTATGTTGATGTGGAATATTGCATGCAGACACAGGCAAGCTCTTCCCACACTCCAAGCTGCTAGGCTGCGATCCAGCTCAGCCCAAGAGCTAGCTGTAGGACTTCACTGGTGTGGTGCCAAGGCAGAACTAATAAACACAGCCTCTGCCTGCAAAATACTGTGCAGACAAAACCGCAGGCAGCTCCAAAACTAACTCATGTGTTAGTGACACAGGGCAGAAAGCGGCTGAAGGCCCTTGATGCGGGCAGACCCATCCTTTTGCTCTTTGCAATTGTGTAATTAGGACTGAAGAGGTCTGCAAACTGCAAAGAATCTCTCTAATAGGAAACTGGATGCCAAGAGTCAAAAACGAATACTTCATCGCCCAAGTATACAGGTGCAACATGTTTCAAAGAAGTTGATACATATAGAGAAAATGAGGTCTAAAATGTATATAAAGTCACTTCATAAAGACACACAATTAAATTTCTGACAGAAGACACAAATGTTCTTCGATTGCCTTTCATTTACAAAAGAAGAGTAAAGAGGCAAATCAATTTTTCCAGGTTTATACAAGTCTTAGAACTAAAAATGAAAGACTGGATAAACCAGCCAGTGACACGTGACAGGCTTTTAAGTGCTGTGTTTCTTTCTATTTCTCTAATCTAGATAGAAACACGAAGCACACATATGAATAGATTTCAGAAAGAGGACACAGAAAATCATCAATAAAATGTAACTTATCAGGAGGCATAAAATGCATGAATGACCTGTTCATGAGAACAGAGACAATGCCTTTCTGTCTCACATCACACAAAACACAATGACAAATACACATTTTAATCTGGGCAGCCAGATACAAGTTGCATATACCCTTCAGCTTAGAGATCTCCTGCTCTTTTTCCTGCTGCAGTTGTAAGTATCGCTCCTTGTGATCACTGAATGTTCTGCTAAACTCTTCTCCTTGTTTTCGGTGATCTTCCTCAAGGTCAGCATGCTGTTTCTTTAGTTCTTCATGTTGACTCTGCAAACACCAAGTTGGACACTGGAACAGTTCGGTATCTGCTTATCTGGCAAATATTGTCTTTGGCAATTTGTTAAATAAGTCCAGATGAATAGGAAGCATTCATAACAAGAAGATTATTATTCAAAGCATGCATATTGCAGCTCCTCTCAAACACAAAATGATCTCTGTGATGAGCAGTCTCCTGTTCTAGGGCTACGTCACCTCACCCTGCAGTTGCACTGTCCCATTGGGAGCTGCTGAATGTGTCTAAGAAATTCCTTACATGCCAAACTATGTAAGGTCTGATAAGTCAGCGTTCCACACAAGTAACTGCATTTGGTAAGATTAAATTACCCACTGGAAAGCCTGACTAGGAAAAACTGCAGTACAGCATCTTTTAAGGGTACTGTTGTAAGAGGAAGGCACCATCGCTGTACTGACAATCTGGAGTGAACCACCAGGAGCCAGTGAGGCCGTATCTCCCTGCCGTGGCAGAATGCTAGCGTCCTCTGAAAGTGGGTATCTCCGTGACCTACCTTCAACATCTGGTGTTGGACGCTCAGTGCACTGTATCGGCTATTTGAGTCTTGCTGTAAAATGAAAACACTAGTGTTAAACAGAACACCACTGTCATTCCTCTAACCTCTGCACACACAGTTACTCGGGAGTCACAAGCCCAGGGACATAACTCCCGGGAAACAAACTAATCTCTCCATTTGCTTTGGGACATAGCAAGCATATATACTCGGCACTTCCTGCAGCAACAATGTATTTTAACTTCGGTTACTTAGCTCACAAACTGCTCCCCAGTTTCAACATGAAGTAGCCATAAAATCCTGATTTACTTGCTTTATAAAGAGCTCTCTACAGGTCTCTGGGTCCTTTGCCAGATACAGCTTTCCTTCTGGCACTTGGTATATAAAACAAAGTTTCTTGATGTTTTTATACTTCCCAGTTCCAAGACCATGTGTTAGAAAGTTGTCACTGTACTTTTCCCTGGGGACTAAGCTACAAAAAGATTTCTAATGCCTTATTATTCTCCCTTCCCTTCAAAAATGGTAACATTATGTTTGAACTACCATAATATCAACAGCAGGATATTTTCTAAATTAATTTTCTGGAAAGATATTAGGATCTCCTGTTACAGCTCAAGCAATGAGGAATTGCAGAGCACTTAATGCGTGCAGAGTAGAAATTGAGTAAGCGAGCGCTCTTTCAAATAGCGTTTTGTGAGACCTCTTTGAACAGTAGTAATTGCAAAGCATTTTCTTTTTCTTGCAACTCAAATAGCATCAACTATTAAAAACTTGAACTAGGAATGATGACTTACCCTTCCTTTATTTAGCGTCTCCTGTGCTTCTAGTTTATAAACAAGAAAATCTACAACATAAAAGGGAAAATACTGATGAAAAAAACAGGAAGATTAGAATCTGTACTTAAATACAGATTCTAAAAAATATATAAAAATATAAAAAAACATAACATAACTGTTATGTTACACATAAATTGTCTTAAGAGCTGAATACTTATGCAGTTACAATTTTCCAAAAGATCTTAAAAAAATTACAAAGAATTTAACAAAATGTTCAAATTTTGACAAAATATTTCCATTTAAAAGTTTCACAGTTTCATAAAATATTTTCATCATAAAGTTTCCTATCTTTGTGTGAGATATAGGGGGTACTGGCTTAAGACTACAGATGGGTAGTAAATCTGTTACATGAACTCTCTCAGTAGAGACTCAGTGGCATCATTCAAAAGCAAAAGGACATTTATAAACTGTGTATTCTTGTATTAGGATTTAAAAAAAAAAAATTGTACTTTAAAGAAGTGTGAAAGTCTAGACTAAGTTTAAATAAAAAAAAATTTCCCCTTTTGTTCCTCGATCCTCTTTCCAGGACTTGAAAACACCGACTGGCTTTTGCCCAGCAATGGGACAGCTCTACACTAGATGGCACCAGAAAGCTATCGAGAACTGCACAGTGAGAATAATCTTACACGTTCTTAACCTCTGCTAAAGCAGTTGTTTTAATTCAGCGCTGAGTCCCCAGTTTTAGGAAGAATACAGGCTTTACTTTGAAAATTGTAGTGCATTTTGAACAACAAAAGACTCGGAGAAAACTCCAAGGATTGCATTCTGCTGAAGTTTCGTAGAGGGCAGATGGGTAAGAAATACAATGTGTGCCACCATCTCGCCCTCACGCACCCTTAGAATTTAGTTTTAATCAGAAAAAGGTATGTAAACATGTGTTTACCCTGAAGCATGTGTAAAAATACTGATTCATAGTCTAATTTCACACTGATGGAATGCAGGAAAAGATCCCATGGTGTTGGTACAAGTTTTACATGTTCAGCATGCCAGAACAGGATTTACACATGCCCATACTCTACATATGTGTTAGGTTCATGGAAACAGAACTGAAAAGACGATTACTTTTTTAAAAGATTAGATTAAAAAAATAAATTAAAAAGATGTGCTAAAAAGACCATCACAGATCTGCCAAGGTGGTCCTGCTAATGTGTTATACCTTGGTAACTCGTTTAAAATTGAACAAAATACATCTGAAGTTACTTTCTAAAATAATCAAGTTATCTTAAACGTCAAAGTGAAAAGCACATTTTTACCTTCTTTCGCTTTCTTATGTTCAAGCCTTTCCTTTTGTAATGACTTTTCTAATCTTGACCTGTGCTCATATACAACTGAAAAGAGAAATTTTGTACACAATTCATTTTAAAAGTAATACATACAAAAACCACCACCCACCCCCAGCACACCCAGAGAGCATTGGCACGGAATGTACCAAGAAAATACAAGTGGAATGAGGTCATAGGATACAGGACTGTTTGCATCATTTGGGACAGTAACTTTTTTTCTTTATTGCATGCTCTACTGATCCTGAATTCTGGGCTATTTCCACTGCATAAACATAGAATGTGATAACCATGTACGCGATTTGTTTATGGAAACAGTCAGCTATGGTGGATCTACACAAACGCTACCAAAACTCCTTCCTTCTTACGTGAGCAGGTACGCATTTTCCCATGCTTCCATTCTCTTGTCCCTTGGTTGTCGACAAGGAAAGACGACGGGACAACCTTACTGCCCGGGTAAATCCTTGCAGGAGACAAGTTGTCACAAGGAGGGAAGAGAAGTGCACAAGAGCAGGATGGCTTAGAAAGGTGCAGTAGTACACTAGACAGGCTGCTTAGGCTAAGACATGGAGAACCAGAGATCCATTCCTAAATTCTTCCAAAAACTTGGGACAACTCGGTTTTCCGCGATCTTTTTTTGTAAAGTCTGGATAACAGCAGCTGTTTACACCACAGCCCTGTGGAAGACCCACAGGCTGCACAATGAAATGCTTAGGTAGAATGTCCTGCATTTCTTAGTAAGCATGTTCTGACAGCAGGTATACATACGCTAAAGCACCCTGTACTCTGATTTCACTTCATCTGAGGAGGATTTGGGGCTTTTTTGAGGGTTTTTCCCACCCCCACAGTTAAGGGGAGAAGGCAGGAAGAACAAAAGAAATCATCTGAAGGGCTGGGATAGCTAACGTATAAAGCTAAACCAGATGCTTCTCGGCAAGGCTAGGGTATCAGAGACTGCTTGTCAGGAAATCATTCCTGTTTGAGAGTGCAATGTAATCTTCACTGATTTTTAAATCCATTTATGCATTCTCTTATAGAGTCCAAACATCCACATGCCAGTCTAGAGATGAACGAAGAAGTGGTCTATGTACAGCTCTTCAGCCAAAAAAGCAACAGGCTGAGGTTTTAGGGGCACCGTTCAAAACCTGCAACATCCTCAGCAGACCAGGCAACAGCGGTCATGCAGTGGGTCATGCGGTGTGTAGCTGTCCCTTCCAGCGGGGTCACTGACTACAAAAAAATGCATGTGTTTTTTTGGAAAGGTGCTCCAACATCTTTGCCAAACTCTGAGCCCTTTGAGCTGACGCTGCTACCAGAAGAGGTGGTTCTGCTGCTTGTTCTCACACTGTCCTTCCCTTTGCTCCTACTGCTACAGGTGATGGGACAGCAGGACCTAGCAGCTGGGGATAGGGTGAGGAACAATTTCTCCTGGTGGCAGTGCCTGCTTAGACAGTTTTTAAGAGAGCATCAGCGAAGACTGGCAGTGACCTGGAATGCTGGGTGGCATGGCAGGAGGCGGACTGCTCCAGGTTTGATCACAGAAAGCAGACATAACCTTATTTCTAGATTTTTTTATGGTGTCACAACTACTCTCGGTCATATCCATGGTCCCACAGTGCCATCTCTCAAGACCTGACAAGAGCAGGTGACTAACAGAATACACACAATGAGTTTACAGTATTTCTTTGGCACCGTCTCCCAGCAATTTATGGTTCCCAAAGACTGACTGCCTGCAGGTCCTTTGTGTGCACCATTCCAAAATGGAATTTACATTTATGAATTTGTCTAATTGTTGTATCCAACAAGGGTGTTGTATCCACCCTCTGGCAGAGAGTCCCACCACTTAGCTGCCAGTAAAGGAGCATTTCATTCAGCTTGTGTTGTGAACATCTAGTTTCAGATGTCCCTCACAAGCAATGGGGCACATCAGTCCCTATTTACCCCTTCCTCATGACTCACCAGATTGAAAGATCATTATCTGAAACAGCCTAAGTTTGCAGCAAAGGAAAGATATTAATTAAAACTCTCACTAATGTACAATTATATTTGTTCAAGCTCAGTTTAACACAAGTACCTTTCACTGTCCAAATTACAATTTGCACTCTTTTTTAAAGAGTTACTAATTTGTATTAATGCAATGTGTGATTTTTCCTTCAAAACTAGGAAACTCGTTTTCTGAGAAGTAAATCGTCGTTGAACACAAGCCTTCAACAGGAAATATCAAATAAAGATTTGTACCTTGGCAGCCACAGAAAACTCCTCTTGCACCTTAAAACATGTTCTTAATTCCACCAAGGTGCATTCTGCAGGCTATTTAGCTACTGGCTTACCTACAAGGGTTTATGTTTTGGCTTAGAAGCTGGACTGCTAATCAATCCTTGTCACCTCTCTCTGCTATTTATCTTCTGAAGTCAGGGGCATCAGTCAAGATGAACTAATGTATCAACATCCTCTGCAACAAAACAAGCATGTAATGAATATTCACAGTCATCAGCAAGTAAGCTTTCAGAGAAGAAAAAAAAAAGGCAGCACTACAGTAATGGTTTTATCTAGGCACTGAAGATTGTGAATGCCAAATTACATTGCAAAAGGAACAGTGGTTGTAGCATAGCAACCCTGGAGAGAAATGAAAATCCATAATGGGTTTCCCCTCCCATGGCATCGGGGTGAGAACAGGCTTTTTGGCAAACAGACTAAACCACAAATGGATTCAGAGGCAACATTTTCCATTTCACTTCTTTGTCTGCAAGTGTACCTTCCTCGGCTCCTCCTGGTGTTTTCACAAGGGGTGGGGGGAACCTGCACAACAAACTCCTAATGACAAGGGCAGGAAGAAAGGAGAAAGAGAATGCAACAGTTTGGGTTTTGGGGACCACGGTGCTCTATGCCTTTCACAGCTAATTGCATCTCTGCTGAGCTTTGGCTTTCCTGTCTCCACCCGCACTTTCAAGCACTGTCTCTACATCCCTGCTGGGTAGTGCATCCCCACTACTACCTTCTGTGTGCTAACCTTTGAAAGACTGCAAAGCAGCTGGCAACGTCTTAGAATAGCCTTTCAGATGGCCAAAAAAGGGCTAAGAATAACTTCCTCCTACCCCTCTCCCTTTCTAGTTCATTTGCTTGTTGGTTCAGCAATGTTCTTCTCTGATAAGAAGTCCGTAACGTGCAATGTAATGAAGATGTTGATTAAGAATAATTATTAAGAAAACATATCTTCCATATTTACTCACTTGCTCCTTTTGGGAGCAGGTTACAGGTCAGATTTCATAAATATATATAGGAGTTTATCTCCCATAAATATAAATTATTCCCACCAGTCAGGAACTTCTTAGGCAAGAGTCCAAAATACAGGGCTCATTACTAAAGCAGGGATTTCTTCTTCCTCACTACCGGCCTGGATAGAAGATGTCTGAGCAAGAATCTCAAAGAAATAAATACACTGAAAAACACATTTTCCATTACAGGTTTCCCAGCTGGGGAGTGGCACTTATATAAGGAATCTGTCAAATACCTACTGGAGTGATGGACCGACATGGCACTTCACAAATAGTTTCTTCCTAGGGTAAGTTCTTAATTTTGTACTGGTTTCTGCAAAATGCTTAAATATAACATAGAAACAAAGTTCAATAGACTTACATACATAAGTCTTTCACTTAGGATTTTTCTCATGCAGAAAGGAAAGAGGAGGAGAGGGCAGGGGGGTGACGCTCTCTAGGTTCTCAGAAGATTACACCACTTTGACCATTGCTGAACGTTAATTGCAACACAGGAGTCAAGCGATGTGATGAAAGCAAGCTTATTTAACAGTCATGGTTATTTCTCTTACCTTTGCTTTGCACCTCTAAGCAGTAAAACTATTATTAAGCAAAGTAAGCCATTACTGTATATTTAAAAGAAAGTACTTCCTATTTTACCTTACTAGCAATTTTGCAACTGTGTCACTTTGGTATTTTGGTCTGTCAGAAGCACGATTCCAGAGTCTAAAATATCCCAGCTCCCACTATCTTAAGTACTTGAAAATTAAGATTACATTGGGATTTAAATATACATGATGCAAGAAATGTTATTAATTTCTATGTTATTGTTTCTTATGCAATTCTGCAATCTTTCTCTAAGTTTACAGTAATACTTTTCATTTAAAAACAGATTTCAGTAGTCTTGGCAACATTTAACATTATTTTCTCTCAGACTGTGGCAGAGTTGAACTGAACCAGCAGTGTGCGGTAAGCCACAATGGCACTTTTCTACTAACACTATGAAGGTCTGTAGAACATAGACTTGTTATAAAAAATACAGTTAATTTCCAAGTCGTGCCACTGCAAATAGCACCATTTAAAATGTGAACCCATGCAAATAGCTTTTCTGCTGAGAGTAAAGCATTTCCATGAGCCAAAGAAGAATCCCTTCAATACGGGATGTAGGACAGATTTTCTAGTCCAATGACAATAATTACAATTTTTATCTCAGAAAAGACTTCTTGACTCATCTGATGCTAACATTTCATGCTAGGAGAACACGTTATTAATACAGCAAGACCTGCTCTCCAAGCTTCCAGCTCTGTATATGATTAAGTCAGTGAATCTGGCTTCAAACAAGGAGATCCACTATTTCACTACTGGTAATGTTATCAGAAACAGATTATCAAACTGCAGGTAGCTCCTGGACAAGCATCAGGATTCCCCACCGGAGTACAACCCATAGTGGTCACCATATACCCTCCATTCATTTCAAAGACTCTCAATATTAGCAACGAACAGATAGTCCAGTAATATTGCAAACATCTAAGAAACAACAGAAATATTCCCACAATAAAGACTATGAAAACTGTGTTTTATAGCACAAGAACACAACATATTTACAATATATTGAACAAAATATTGAAGCTGTTTCATATTTTATGCCCTTGAAGTTTTCTGTTTTGAATTTATACAAAGAGGACAGAAGTAGAAGCCAAGATAACGTAAAACCAATCGCGCGTGGAAAAACAAGCATTCTTCTGGCTTAATTGGGGAACAATTCTGCATACAGGCAGGGATGGTCTGCTCTCA